AAATTACTATTTGGAGACTGATCCTTAGTACACCTATTTTATAAAATACTGACCCTAACTCTTCACCTGGATTTCTTCTCGTGTTATTAGCCTTGCTCTTTTTTTTTTTTTTTTTTTGCTGGTAATGTTCTGGAACTGGTAATGAAAAGGAGAGGCAGTGGTTTAGGAAAAAATATCATGACATTAAGCAAGAAATTATTGCAGCAAGAGAGGCTTCAGCTTAGGAAAGGAGTGTCAAACATGTCACGGGGCATATTGGGACTTTCCCCTCTTCGCTGAACTGGGCATGGGCGTGGCCAGTGCATGATGCATCTGGCCCATGGGCTGGGAGTTTGATAGCCCTGGTTTAGGACATCCTGGTCCTGATATGTTTTTGTTGAATTGCCATGTAGGAACTAAAAATAGTAGTTCTCAAAAAATGCTGAAGCACAAAGCAGCCCAATTTTAGCTTAGTATTTTTTGTGAATTGAGCCACTATAATAAAAAAAGTAATTCCAAACTAATCAGCACCTTCCACCTTTTCCTCCTACTGGTCCATTTTCAGTTCAGTTACAAGCTGTCCTCCAACAATTTTTCATTGCACCATCTGCAAATTGAATTAAAAGGCTTGGATAGTAATTATATTGGTCCTATATTTTAATTTATTGCAAAGAAATAACACTCCTTGACTTTCTGCTTGTGTTTGAATTCAATCCACTAGCTCGTTTATGGAAAATCTTGTCTTTTGTGATTGCTCTCCCTTCCGTTGCTATCTGCCAGCTAAATTGCTACCTGAAGAAAGAGGAGCATGAAAGGCCAGAATTTATTCCTTACAAGCATCTTTACATCCGGACCAAGGTACTGAATTTGCATTGTTTCTAGACTTGTTCCATGCAGACTTTTGAGAGACATTTGCAGAGAGTTGTAAAAATTGAGGTTTCAATGGGTTGGGTCAGATCCCAAAAGCATGGCCTGGGCACCCATTGTTTTTCATCTAATATAGGTAGTTCTCGATTTACTACCACAGTTGAGCCCAAAACTACTCTTTGTTTGTTAAGTGGGTTTTGCTCCATTTTAAGACCTTTCTTGCCACAGTTGTAAGTGAATCACTAGTTATTAAATTAGTAATATGTTTGTCAAGTGAATCTGAGTTTGCTTGTCAGAAAGTTACAAAAGATATTACATGACCTGGGACACCGCAATGGTCATAAATATGAGTCAGTTGCCAAGTATCCAAATTTTGATCACACATCTATGGAGATCCTGAAAATAAGTGTGAAAAATGATCAGGTCACCTTTTTTTTGTGCAGTTGTAACTTCAAATGGCCGCTAAATGAACTGTTGTAAGTTGAGGACTACTTGTATTTCCCTTCTTATAACAGTCTCTTCTACACTTGGGTTTGAAGTAGGGTGAGAATTACATTGCCTACCTATTGGGAAACTGATCATAGTTATTTAAGTATCCTGAACTCTTATTAGTTCACAGCAAAGTTTAAGGGTGAGGCATAAAGTTCACAACTAAATTTTGATGAGAAATGAGCTTTATTTCCAATACAGAAAAATCAGTTTCTCACCCAACTTGTTGATTTATTGTACATACAGCCCCCGTGCATGGTCTTCATTGGGCCAATTGCTGTCTCTGAGGCACAATGACAAAACTCCATTTATATCTGATATACCCCAGAGGATGCCAACTTAAAAAAAATCATTGCATTATTGCCAAACGAAGCCACTGTTCTGCACATTCAGCTCCACAATATCTTCAAGGATTGATTTTTGAAAATTATTTTAAATTTCCTACTATACTTAAGGCTCCTTTGAATAAAGTTTGACCCTTGGGAACCTCTTGAAAATATCCATGCGGTTTTCTTGCCTACACTGTGGAAGTAGTTTGCTTTTCCTTCTGCGATTCCCCCCCTCTCCCTTTGGACTTTGCAATCTAGTCTACAGCCTGGGGATTATGTAGTGGTCCCCCACCATGTATACTAATTACATCTGAACAGGTTTAGCTTTTTGAGATCACATTGACTGGTTGCTGCCACCTTGCTGGTCAAAAAGCCATTAGAGAGATCTTAATTTATGTATCGTTTAGGAAACTAAAACTACCATCTCTCTTCTCTTTGCAGCCCTTCCCTTGGGGTGATGGGAACCATACTCTTTTCCATAATCCACATGTCAATGCACTTCCAACTGGCTATGAAGAGTGACCACTAGGCAAGTGGATCACAGCCACAGCATGGACCGTTAAAGGTAGCTGGACCAGAATCGAGGCTGGGACCATAATCTGCATTCCCTGTATTGTTTATTCTGACTTCTTACAGTGGATGTTCTTCCTGTAGAAGTCTCCTGAAATAAAAAATATTCTAGCCAAATCTTTCATTAATTTTTTTAAAAAATTGTATCAATACCTTTTATCCTGCTATCTTGAAGTGGGGGGCATTATTGAGCTTTGTAGATGAAAAATTAAGCAGCACTGCGTGTGCAGGAAAGCAGCAGTGCTCAAATTGTTAAGATACGTGATGTAAACTGGACCGGTTAAGATTGCTTGGAATTAGAACAAATTATTTTCTGAAGTAAGCTTCCAGTATGGAAACTGACAAGAAAATGAGTAACCTATCATTTTAGTGGAAAGCAGAAACAGACATTGAAAACTGGAGAAAGTTCAGAGGAGAGCTGCCAAGCCTTTGGAACAGCTGAAATATCTAGGTCTTTTTATCCTAAAAAAAGGAGAAAACAGAGGGAAAATACGATAGGAGCTTTCAGATTTGTAAAACATTGTCATATAAAGGAGGGGGCAGGCATGAAGTTTGATATCCGAGGCCAGAATCAGTAGGTTGAAACTAGATTCTAAATAAGTACATTTGGTTAGATACCAGGAAGAATTTCTCAATGGTCACAACTGTCAGCCATTCTTAATAGGTTGCTTTTTAAAGTTTCCCTTTGCCAGAAGTCTTCGAACACAACTCTGTCCAAAATTGTTTTGCAAATCTTACACCAAGCAGATGAACCTCAGGACACTTGAAGTCCCTTTCAAATATGTGATGCAGTACTACTTAATTTTTTTTAACAATGTAATAAATAGCAGTGGTGTGATTGCATCCTACAGAGATCTTTGTAGTGGATTATGGCAAAGTGCAGCAGGGCACAGTATTGGTGTGTGGCTGTACTGTCTGCCTCTGTGAGGGTTCTTTATACAGTAAAGCAGCAATCCATTGCTGGTTTGTGGGTAGGAGGGCAAGCCCCCTATCCAGGTTGATGGGAGAGTGTGATTCCTTGAAGTTGAGATTCTGAATGGCTCTTCTGTCAGGCAATAAGTTCTGTAAAGCATAACTTCATATGCTACTGCCAGGCAATAAGTTCTGTAAAGCATAACTTCATATGCTTCTATCAAAACATAGCCCCCAGTTTAAATCTAAGTTACAAGTCATTTCTAATTTTGTATTTTAGTTTCCTAATTTAATGTCCATTATTGCATATACCAGAACACACTTTTCACTGCTCAATCACGTTGTAAGGCACTTTCTGCTGCAAGTGTGCTTCCATACCTGTGACAGTCGCCAAAGTGTTTTCTAATACACACAGGAAGGTGGATTTTAGATTGCCTTGGCACATTTGAAGCTTTTACTGATAAATCTGGGAGTCAGAGTAAAAGATTGCAAAAGAGAATTTTGTCAGACTGGGGTGGATGCTGGGGGATTAGTCCAGTAATCTCCCCCTGAGAGTTTCTCTCTCAAAATCCATGTTATAAACTAAAGATAAACTTGTAGTTTGCTATGGTGAGCCAGAATTTGCTCTATTGTGCTGATAAGTATAATCTTTATTGTCATTGTACTTAAATACAATGAAATTGGTTTTAACCTCACTGGTGCAAAATTATAACAGAAATGAAAAAGAAAGAAAAAGGAAAAAAAACTAGTGTATGCATGGAGTAATTGTGATTGTATTTAAAAGTCTCACAGCCCAAGGATAGAAACTATCTTTAAACCTTTTTGTTCGGCTGGCTATACTTTGATGNTTTTTGGCTGCCGCTGCACACTATTGGCTCATATTTAGCTGGTTGTCCACTAAGACTCCAAGATCCCCCTCACAGTCATGCTATTAAGCCTGGTTTCACCCAGTCTATATGTGTACTTGTGGGTTTTTTTTTTGTCTAAATGTAAGACTTTATTTTTCTCTATGTTGAATTTCATTTTGTTAGATTTCTTTGGGTGTTGCAGATAAAGTGGAGATGGGTGTGATGTTTTCTTCACCAAGCTTTGATAGCCCTTTTCTCCGCTCAGTAGCAAAAATTAAAGGTCAGTGCCTTATTCCACCTCTTAGATAATGAAATCTAATCCAGAAGCTTCCTTTAATAGCAACATCCTACTGTAAACATTATGTAGATAACAAAATTTATAAAATGTAACTTGATACACAGTTCAGCTGTTCACTCATCAGCTTCTTCCTTTTTAACCCTCACCCCTTAATCTTACAGAGAGGGAGAAACTGTTTCCAAGCAATTTGCCACTCAAATCAACAGTGCAGTTTGCTGAAAGCCACCCCACCAAATTCCAGCTGCAAATGGAAAAGGGGCTCAGGAAGCCATGGCAACCTCTCAAGGAAGCCAGCCAGCTGCCTGTCCCATCTTGAAGGGCAAGTTTGGGAAACATTTATTTAAATTCTTGAAAACAAACAAACAAACAAAATTAAGCAGTCTTTGGTGCCAAGATTAGGAAGAAGACAATAACAGCTGGAATATTTTCTTCAGCAGTCTGGGGCTTTGGATTCCAAAGGAAAAGGGGGCTTTCAGCCTGAGGATCCCATCTCAAGTAAGTCCTTTGCTTGGATCATAGTCCAGCTGTGGAGGGAAACTTCAGGACACCAAGGATTACAGATTAACAGGGAAGGAACCTTGTAGGTCATCTAGTCCAACCCCCACACAAGCAGGAGACCCTACACCATTCTGAGAGATGGCAGTCCAGTCTCTTCTTGAAAGCTTCCAGTGATGAAGCTTCCATAACTTCTGAAGGCAACTTCTGTTGCATGGGTGGATTGTTCTTACTGTCAGAAAATTCCTCCTTATTTCTAGGTTGAATCTCTCCTTGATCAGTTTTTCCTTAACATTTTGTATTGGCAAACCACAAGACAGAAGTGGAAAGCTATCACCCCACTGCCCTTCTGTGTTCTTGTTACAAATTTCTGGAGAAACTTACCTTAAATAGAATTGGATCTCACAATAGATACATTTCTGCCCATGGAACAAGCCGGCTTTTGCCATAATTGCAGTTGTGCTGATCAGGTGCTGAGCCTAACAGGGCATATCGGGGCTGGCTCCCAGGAGGCTTAGAAACCATAGCTGTGTTCATCGACTTTACTGCAGCATAGGATATTGCATGGAAGAAAGGTCTGCTTTACAAACTGAGCCACATCATCCCCTGTAAAATCCTCTATCACCTAATAAACAACATGCTCAGCGATAGATCCTTTCAGATCATTAAGGGGGACATTATTAGCAAGTTAAGAAGATTCAACAGCGTCCATCCACAAGGTTCTCTACTGGTACCCACACTGTTCAATCTTTATATCTCAGATATGCCAGCTTAAGGGGATGTAAATTTGGATATGCAGATGACCTGGCCCCAGCAGCGCAAGATAACCGCTTGGAAATTTTTGACTGTCTCTTCTCTGAGAACCTGAAGTCCCTGGGAAAATTCTTTGCTGATTGGAGACTCATCCCCAGTGTCAGCAAAACGGTGACTACCTGTTTCCATCTCAACAACAAAAAACTCGCCAATTCCACCCCAAAGGCTCCCTGAATAACAACTACTCCCTTATGATCCTCACCCAATACCTCAGAGTCACCTTGGATCAGACTCTCTCCTATAAGAAACACCTACAGAACATGTCCCCTAAAATCAATACCAGGAACAACTTACTCCAGAAACGAAGAGGATCAAGTTGGGGAGCCTCAGCCTCTACGCTCAGAATATCAGCACTAGTTATTGTTAAACTCCACTTTTTCCCCTCTTTTTAAAAGATTGGAAGAATATTAGTTCTTCTCTGTTTTTCTGCCTCTCCCCCTGCATTCCAGGAGTTTTCACAGGTCACTGTCAGTATCCCCTGACATCTACCGGTTCTTTTAGTGACGCCCTGGGATGCCATCCTGAGACTTGAATTCATTCAAAGCTTCTGGATGTTCTCTCACTACTTCCTTGACTATTTTGACTTGCCTTTTTCGCCTGTCCCCATAGTCCAGCTTCCAATAGGTACAAGTACATTTGTGAAAAGACAGGTGCAAAATTGGCATTAAGCAACTTGGCCTCCTCCCAATTCTCTCTTTTACCATCTCACCATCTTCTCCTACCAGAGACATTCTTCTTTCTCAGCACATCCTTAAAGAACCCTCTCAACATATTTTGGAATTCGTTGTGAGCCTCAGCTCATTCCAGGCCTTGATCTTTATTTTTGATTTTGTAGAGAAAAGTAAAGTCTTACACTTAGGCATGAAAAACCAAATTTACACATATAGACTAGGTGAAACCAGGCTTAATAGCAGTGACTGTGAGAGGGATCTTGGAGTCTTACTGGACAACCAGCTAAATAGGAGCCAACCGTATGCAGTGGCAGCCAAAAAAGCCAATGCAATCCTAAATTGCAACCAAGATCAAGGGAGGTACTACAGCAATACCACTCCATAAAGCCTTAGTAAGGCCACACCTAGAATACTGCATCCAGTTTTGGTCACCACACTATAAAAATATATATTGAGACTCTAGAAAGAGTGCAGAGAAGAGCAACCAGGATGATGAGGGGACTGGAGGTCACATTCAGCCTAACGTAATCTCGCAAGATGCTTATGGAGAGGATAAACTGAAGGCATCACCTNTTGGCTTTGCCATCTGCTCTACCTGCCAAGTGCCTGATGGAGGGGCACACCTCATGATTCCAATGCTCCATTTAGATTGATGCTTTTGATCAGCCTCAGACGATTCCTGGGTTGGTGTCTCCCGAGGCTGACATTCCACTGGTTTAGTTGGGAGCAGCTTCTTTAGACTCAAGAGTTGTCCGAGTCATGGGCCCACGACATCTAGGAGTTCATGAGGAAACTAATCTTGTCCTGATGGTCCTTCTGAAGGTCAAATGTTTCCTGGCTCACTTCCCATGTTGATTTAATTTGTGCAGATTCATTCTAATGGTGGACTCATACACTTAATGTCATTTTGGTCACTGACCACCAAATGCCTGGCCAAATTGGCTGTTGTTTGAAATCTTCTCCGCATATAGAAGGTCATTGGTATGATTGCTGCCTAATTGTTTGGTGATCTTTTAAAACCCTTTCATGGCTCATTGGCTTCTGTAACCTTTTGGAAGGCCCCAGGGAATTCCTTCAAGCTAAGCATGGTGATACCACACATTTCAGCAACATAGGGTATAAACTAAACTAAAAGCCTAAGGCTTTAAAAATATAAGTTCCTACAAGTTTCTAATGTTCTACTCATCTAAAACTCTACTTTTTGGCATTTGAGGTAGTGATAAATAGGAGTATACTTACTTTTACTACATGCAAAATTTCAATTATTTTTATTTCAATTTACAATAGTCCACAAAATTTAAATAGTGCATGATATGTATTATATTGTGTCCTCTTTATCAATATTGTGGAAGTTCAAGTATCTGTAGGTTGAACAAATCAAAAATTTCAATAGGGGGATTTACTTTTTCACATGACTGTACATAGGTAATCATGATAAAATGTTTCCCAGCAACAATGGAAATGAAGCAGCAGTAACTAGATTGATGTGACAAACATTGCAAGGAAGCAGCACCCTGTATCTCCCCACCCGCATTAGCGGTATTATTTTAGTTTGCCTATTTCATAGTTTGCCTGTTTCATAGTCTTGGTAAGGGGGGAGGCTTGCTGGTGTCATCAGATTTCTGAAGAGTTCTCAGACTTTTCTTTGCTGGAGCCCATGAATTCCAAGCCTTCAATGGGTATGTCCTTCTCCTTAATAGCGTTCTGAAAGGGAAATAAATGAAGGATATTCTAAAAGGCCGGGTGTCTCAAAAAACATATTGTAAGCACTAAAAGTCTGGGACATCTGCAAGATAAATGTCCAAACTGTAGAAAAGGGGCATCATTTATTTTCAGATTTGCAAGCAGAACTTTTTCATGAGGCATTTGGCAACCCTTCAATAATCACTCCCAAGGCTGGATTTGCATGACAGCATGAGCCACCAACCATATTTCAGCCTAGCTACCAGGTTGTTCTGAAGCGAGCCTTGGGGTACTTAGAAACCTCCACTGAGAAAATTCAAAGTCTCAGCTGTGAGTTCCACCAGGGGTCTCAAACCTTGGCAACTTTAAGACTTGTGGACTTCAACTCCCAGAATTCCCCACCAGCATCACCCAATATGCATAACTGGCTGAGGCATTCTGGGAGTTGAAGTCCACAAGTTTTAAAGTTGCCAAGGTTGGAGAGCTCTGAGTTAGGCGGAAAGCTGTCATGCGGCATCCCAAAACAAGGCAGCGTCTGGTTATCGGATTGCTCCCTGCCCGCCCCAAGCGAAAGGGGTCGGCCGATGCAGGAATGCAGGCTCGGGGCCCAAATTCGCTTCCGGAAACACCCAAGGGAGGGGCTCGCTGGAAACGCCCCTCCCGCCCAGCTGAGAGAGGCCGCGGCGCCTTCAGGAGCCTTTCTGAACTTTGGTCGCTGGCTGGCTGGCTGGGGAATCCTGGGAGTTTAAGTCTGCCCGTCTTCACGTGCCCAAGGCTGAGAAGTGCTGGGCTCAGCATTAACACGGCGCTCTCCCGTCTCCTTCGTGGTAGGTCGGGCGCACTTTGCTGGAGCAGACCAAGACACACACACACACACACACCCGCCGCCCCCGCCCGTCACCTGGACGCAGAGCTGGTAGCGCTTGAAGAGCTGCACGCAGGGGTCTCCCTCGGCGCCGGCCTCCCCCTTCAGGAACTTCTCGGCGAACCAACGGTTGAAGCACTGGTCGTAGTCGCGCTTCAGCTCCGTGCAGGCCTCGCCGACGCTGTTCATGGCGGACTGACGCAGCGCCCCGGAAGCAGGCGCAGCGTCACTTCCGCATCGACGCCGGAAGCGACGCATTGATATGCTCGGGTGCAGGTGGGCCCGGCGGGGCTGGAACCCCTTGCGCGCTGCGCTGGGCTGCAGGGGCGCCTCTTCGGCGGAGGACGTCGGATCCGGCCGGGTGAGTGGGGAGACCGGGCGCCCCCCTGCAAAGATGACAGGGGAGCGGGGCACAATTAGGTCTGAGTATCTCCCCGGGCTCTGCTGCTTTGGGGACCGACAGGGAGCTTCTCCAGCTCGGCTTTCCGTTGCGTGATTTAGCCTGGTAGGAACTGGGGGGGAGGGTGGACGGGGACGGACTTTCCCGGTGAAATGAAACGTGAAGCCTAAAAAAAATGTCTTGTCCAGCTGAATTCCTCTCTGCCCCATTTCTAAGAGTATAATCCCAGTTGCCACACAGTATAGTTTGCCGGTATTTATTATTATTTTTTGCGATGCTTAAGTGCGCTATTTCAAAAAATTGTTTCAGCAGACAAAAATTACTTTGGAGTTGTTGGATCATCTTGAGCGACTGGCGCTTGTAGAGTTCCGCAACTGGGAGGGCGTCCGCCGTTTGGAGAGCGCAGTTGAATTCGCTGAACAACTTCAAGTGGTGAACACTGATGGCGTTGAACCCATGGAATCGGTGCTGGAAGACAGGTAGCTACCGGGAGCCCCTGATCGTTTCTGGAGTTTATTTTCTGACTTTCCAGCTCCAGGACAGCCATGCGGACTTGGTATGGTCAGGAAGCCATTTAATTGTGAGAAAGGGTGTTCATCAAAAAACCAAAATGAGGTTTTTTTGCAGGTAGAAGTCTGGCAAGGCAACAGTGGTGGTACTGCTGAATCGTCCCCCAGTTGGATGAAGTGGGACCACTTGCACCCATTGTTCTTTCTAGACTTGGCTAGCCGTGTAACGTCACCTGGCCTTTAGGGAGAAAACATTGTAGAAAGCCGCCGTATTTCTAAGCTTCCTAGCAGACTGATGAATAATTTGTATTCCTCAGGCATCTCTACCTCAGGGAAGATAATATTTTGGAAGGAAAATGTGCAGAGGAACTACTGAAGAAGGCTGCAAAGACAGTTGAAGGATATTTCATAGCTCCACCAGGTAACATTTTGCAGGGGGCGCACAGGGAAATCCATGTTGTAGAATGTTAAACACTTTTTTCACAATGTGAATGCAAGAGAAGTTTCATTATATAGGATGCAGTAATGGTGGGTCTATTGTATCTCTAAGAAATACCATTCTGGATTTTGGCACTTGCCTAAATTATAGAATCCAATATTACATGTGCTTAATTCAGTTATTCTAGAGAGTATAATTTGGTCAATACTGTGTTGGAAGCAACACAAAGAGCTGCCATGAACATCCTTGACAGCTGACATTTTCCATTTAAAATTTGTAAAGTATTGCCTTAAAGTTCATTTTTACAACTAGGAGTACAATTGAAGTTTGTTTCTTTGGAAACAAGTCCTCTTTTCTTCATCAATAATATACATCTGATTTAGCTTTATAGCACTAGTAGTTGAATTATATATTGGATAATATAATACTTAAATTGTATTTCTAATAGAAATTGCCCATCAAAATATTTTATTCCTGCCAATCTTTGTTTGCACTAGGTAACATTCCTCTGCCAAAGGTAGAAGAGAGAAATACTTTTCTTCACAAGGAAGATTCTTAATAGAAGATCCAACTTCAATTGTTTTTAGACACATTGTGCATTGTCATCTTGAATTTTTATATCAAGTACTTCATATAATTTGGGGAGGAACAGGAACTGAAATGACTGGTTTCGGTTAGCCGAGAAGAAAAGACATGGAGCTGTGTGGATTAGGAAAGCGTATCACTGACACTAAGTTTAACACAAACATGGTGTGCGAACATGTCTAGAACTTCTTTTAAACTCTATAACAAGAATTCTGGTCATATTAAAATTTTGTACTAGTTTACTGGTACATTTTATAGTGTTAAATATTTTAATCACCAAACCTCAGCCACCAAATTCCCCAAAAGAAACGCATAAATTGTGTAGAGACTATGATCAAAGGTCATGAAATGGGGGAGTTCATAAGCCCAACCCTCTAAAAGTTTGGAAAACTGAGTATAGAGGCAACACTGGCCATAACTTCAATTCCTCCATAAACTGAATCGCTGTAGGCAAATAACATATAACCATGGTTAGCACTTCTCAGTCAGTCCAGGAGGAACATGAAAAATATCCGGAATTGTTGTAGCTTGAAGCTTAAATATAAAACTATTGAAATACAATCTTAAGTGAGGTACTGACTGCTAATCCATAAGCTGGCAGACATTAGCACATGCCAAGATCTACTGATTAAATCGTATTCACAGATCCTTAAAATGGTGTTCAGAACTAGAAATATCAGAAAAAGTGACATTAATGACACAGGTGCTTCTGTCTTTGAAAAAAAAATCCCAGCACAAAAGAGACCATGTATTACTGCTGAGGGCAGAACATTCTGCAAAACTGAATTCAAACATTCACTTTATGAATTCAAATTACTGTTACCTTGTTATTTGGTCATGAAATAGAAAATATTTTCCAGGAAAACTGAATAAAATGTAGCACAGTTGCTTTTATACTTTGAAATTTCTTTTAATTATTGCAAAAGAAGATGTGTGGTATTGTGTATTAAGATATGCTGTGGCATTTAGAGTTAATTAACTGAAGAACAATGTTCATGGTCTTTAGAGAGAGTTTTCAAGATGGGAATGAGTTGCTTCAGAAATGTAGCCTAATGTTTTGGCTAACCTCTCTACATATGCCTAATACCATTTTTTGTGTGCCCAGTGACAGCATTGTATGGTTAGTGTGGCATCTAAAAGTCCAAAAACGGTCAGATATTTTTTTGTGCTTTATGGAGAGCAGGTGGGGGCATTTAAGCCTTGCCAAGAAAAGAGTCCAATTCAGGAGAGAGTTTTATTTTGAAAGAAGAAAATTGGTGTCTTAAATCTCACCCCCCTCAACAAAATGCATCTAATGCTATTCTGCAGGATACAAAATAAGTGCAGACAAACCACATTCAGGGTATCTAATCACTAAGCCACAAATAAGCCACGTTTTTTTTTTACTCAGCACATTTTGAATCCCAGCCACTATTTAGTAAACAAAGCACAGAGACTTTCTGACAAATATGCCACACTAGATTTTGCAATGGACATATACTGCTCCGTGTTTTACTTGCTACATATTCTGTCATTGTACTTTGTACTATTTCATATACAACACAAGCAACTTAATCCATTTTATACTAAAATGGCATTAGTTTATTCTTCCACTAACTCTTTATATGACTGCAGCTATTAATATGATGCAATAAGGTATTAACTCAATAGAAGACGTGGGACTAGACCTTTGCAGCAACTCATTTGAGCAAAGTCTCAAAATACGATCTCAAAGCCTAGATTGGCAACAGTTTCTCTAAACTTGCAAGCTAGCTAAATGAATCTTTCCTTATTAAGCTCTTAATATGTGGACAGTTACAGACACGGAATTCAAATAAAACACCTCTTTACAAGTTAACTAAGCACAAAACCACTGAAATTCATTTTATTTCATGGATCAAATCAATGATGGGACTTCCATAAAATGCTTAAATTGGACACATTTTGCAGTTAGTGAAGAAGCACAGAACACTCCCTTCCCAGTACATTTCCCAAATTTTCAGCCCCTCCTTTTAAGTAATGAAATTGTATTAAATCTGCTCTCTCAAATCTTCCAGACTTGATAAAATCGGTCCTGGATACTATTTGTGAAATTACATATCAAAACAGCCAGTAAAAGCAATTGCACTGGTATTATAGTAGAACAGCTTAAACATCCCTTCGATGTTTCCAGTATGACAGCTGTAGAGAGCAAAAACCTTTAAAATGCTTCTTTAACCCAATAAGAAAAAGCAACTTAAAAACCAGGCTCATCTGATTTATCTCCACTTTCTACCCCGACTGCACAAAAAGACAGCCACTCACTTAGTTACAGAAACATTGGAATATATTTTGAAACACCATCAACGATCGCTGCTTTAAAGCCCATCCAGCAAACTATTAACATGTATGAGTTTCAAGCTCATTTTCCCTCACTGAGAGGAAAAGCAAGAACATTTTCCAAATAAAATGCATTTTAGGTGGCAATGATTCATAATACTTCATTACCAATACTTCCCTAGTAAAAACAGTTGTCATAAAAAAAAAGATTTTCTTGAATAGAAAGAAAAAAAAAACCAAAAAGGTTCCTACGAAAGACTATATCCATCCATTTTGGAATGTAAACTCTGAGCACAAATGATAAGCTCAGTTCACATCGTTACAAGTCCCTATTGGGTGCAATCAGAATGGCCTAAAGGGTGAAGAGTAGCGCGGTGATCCCCTGCTTTGGTAGGGAGAATCGCGACTCCTTGAACCAGAACGGGAGCGTGAGTAGCTGTAGCTGATGCTTCTTTCAGGACAAACTCTGATATAGGCTGTTTCACCCTGGAATTCAGAAGAGAGAAAACCCAAACATTGGCATAACATCCTGTGGTCAGTGTTATGAATAAATGAATGCCAGCAATGAAGGCGAGAAACCAATGCACAGAGTGGCTCAGGACCGAAGAGTTTTCATATACAGGCAGGTCAAATCCTATTGCCTGCTGCCGTAGGCCAATTCAGATGTGGCCCATCAGGTCTGCAGAAACAGGGCTTGTTACAGCTAGGCTGTGTAGGCCAACACAGACATGTTTTGTCCCCCTGTAACTAAGAAGGGCGATGATGTCGTATTCCAAAGTTAAGCTATCAGAGGGAGAGATGCAGGCTAGTGAAGTCCTTCAGCACAATTAGGAAAGGTCTTGGTGAATTCTCACCCAGTCCATCTTAACTTAAATGTTTCTGCAGTTCAGATTCTTGAAGAAAATTCCATAACAAGCAGCCTCCATCTGTGATTGACTGGGTGGTTGAAGATCAAGCCAGCCACTAGAAGAAGGTGGTTGCAAGTGAAGTAGCAATGCCCCAAGAATAATAACCTGGTTTATAGAAGAGGTATCAAACCACCTTGAGTAGGAAGATCCAAGCACAGGTGGGGAGGTTTACTATTAAGTAAGCCACAAAGCTACACAGCTGCTCCTCTGGGAAATATCATTTCAGCATGCCAATAGAAGGCAAGCTAAGTTTATTGAAACAATCAGCTGGTAGCCATCTTTGTTCACCCACTGGCTGTCAATGGGAGAATGACAAATGAAATCGACTTGCTCAGATGTTAAAAGCAAGTAATCCAAATGCTCATATTCCAGGAATAAAGCAAAAAACCTAGTTTCTGCTTCAGTGTTTTTAACCACACCATCATGGGGTAGGTTTCACATAGCCTTGGCAACCCTTAATCTTACAAAATTTAAGCTGTTTCCAAGACTATTGCTAGACTGTGCCCAGAAGCCTCTTGAGAGAGCATCACAAAGGACAGGTTAATGTATGTTCCTCCATGACTGGCAAACACACATGCTCTTCACCCACAGGCAGGAACCCACCTCATGAGATCGGAATTTGGTGTCATCCAGTTTACGCAGTGCATATTCCATATCTTCTTTGCGAAGAAACTCAACCACCCCCATTCCATCTTTCTGAACATCTGCGTAACATACATCACCAGCTTCACGCATATGATCCTTCAGGTCCTGCCAGCTGCCTGATGGAGGAAGCCCTGAGCAGTGAACACAAAACACAAGAGATTGTGTAAAGAGATGTCACTAGTTGCTGAGGCTATGCCAGGCATGGCTGTGGTCCACCATTTCCATAGAGGTCCTGTTCATTCCAGAGTCAGTGCTATAATTAGGGTCCACAGAACAGCAATAAGTTCCATTCCAAAGGGTGAGCCCTCCGTGTCAGCAAAGCAGTCCCTTAGGTAGATCTAGGATTCAAAGTTCTGGGTGGTCAGAGGAATCCTATTTGTCCAATGTAAACTTAATATCACCCCTAACACTGACTGGACAGATTGTACTCCATGTACTCAAAATAAGATTTGCATCCAAGAAAGAGGGTCCCATTCTAAGAGTATTTGGGTCCTTAGATTCCAATAGCTTATCCTTGGGCAGCGAAGCAAGGATACCTGTGTTAGCTATCCACAGGTATGCTATAAAGAAAGATAAAGGGAAGTCAGTTCCCTGTTCCACAACATATTCTGAAGAAACTAGTACGCTGCTGCTTCCTGGCAGTTTTCAAGAATGCTTCAGAACACTCTCTAGTAAGGCAGGTTCTACCTTCAAGCCAATAGCCAGTTCAGGTATCCTCCCTGCCCTCCCAGGCTTCTGTGTGGGAGATGTACACCTGGGGTTGAGTCTTTTCATTTCCAGGTCCTGCTGCAAAATTGAAGTGTCATTGAACGATTTCCTCACCGATAATTCTATTTCTAGTCACGATGCCACAGTAAAATGCAGATTTCTTGGCATTTTATTTTAGTTTTTATGGGTTAAGTGGGCCATTCCATATGTTTGGCCACAGCGTGCTGAATTTTCTTCAGAGGCTTGATCACCATGGCAAAACCTCCAAAATACTTCCATTGCTTCCCAGTGAGATTAGGACTTTTTCATTTGTCTCCCACCTCACTAGACACAGACACCTACTCCAGTTTTATCAAGGTTGTTTTGAGGACTCCACAAAGGTCTGAACAGAGGGGAACTAATTTTAGGTTAATTTTCTTTCATTAAAAAAAAAACAAATATTGTGCAGCTGTTTCTCAGGTTTTAATAAGAATTTTTTTTGGTTGCACAGCACCATCTAAAGCCTGTTCCTTCTGCCATAAACACTATAAAACTGATCCCTAGTTTTCCTTCCTTGACTTTGCCCGCCCATATAGTGACCCCTTTTTGCATCCAAGAGTTCCCTCTTGCCTCCAGCTGGAGACGTTTTTGCTCACCATTTATTCACCGTGATGAATCCATAATCAAGACTTTCCATGGATTGAATCAGAAAAGTATAGTGTCCTTTTGCAGTTCTAAAAAGCTCCTCCACAGGGACAGGTTCCGTATTAAGAAAGAAACCATATAATATGGTAATAATAAGGTAATCTTCTCTCCATTACAACTGGAGATTGCATCAGAGGGATTCCAGTCAATATGAAATTTAGAAGGGAACATACCTGAAACAAGGACTCGAAATTCAGATCGTCGCGAAGGAGGGCCATTCCTGCCACGAGGCCCCCCACCAAAACCTCCCCGACCTCTTGAAGGTTTGGGAAACTCAACACGCAGACGACACTGGCCATAATCATAACCATTCCTTCTGTAAACGGCATCTTCTGCATCTCTGTGAACAAACAATATATAGCCATATTTACCACTATCCAAACAATCTGAAAGGTTTTGAAAATGTTGCAGCTTAAGACTTAAAGTGCAAAATGCTGAAATACAAGCCTAAAACAGCTAGAAGCTGCTGGTTTCTACCGTAAGCTGGCAGACATCAGCAGAGGCCCAAATTCATCTGATTGAATCTAAAATGGTCTTAAGATCAAAGTTCAGAGTTTTAGAAATATTACAAAAATATGAGGTTCCGAGTTATCAGGATTTTAGAAATAAACCAAACATGTGAAGTTGATAAATGACAGAACTGCTTCTATTTTGCAACAAAAATCACAGCATAAAAGAGGGATTGCAAATATTATTCATCCTCAATGCAGATTATTTTTCAAAAAAGAATTGAGAAATTTGGGACTTTAAAAGAAACACCACTACATAATCACAGAAGCTGCATACGTTTTATGAATATTGGCAGAATATATGTTGCCACGCTATTGTCTTGTGTATTCAAGAAGATAGTTCTTCAGCAATATGTAATATTTAAGGTATAACTGTTTCAGGAATGACAATAGCTGTTTTATAAATCTACTTCAACATGCTGTTTGTGAGTGAGTGGCTATATAAATTTGTTTGATAAACAAATAAAATGACGTTTTCAAAAAAACGCATGGAAACAATCATCATCAAATTTATTACTAAGCCAGTTGGTTGAATAAATAGTGCATCCTCAGAGAAAAACACTCAAATTTCCCCCGGATAGGTAGAAATGAAAATAACTTTCACTAGAGATAACCACAGAAGTCGTCATTTAAGTTTAAAAAATGGGAGACGGTGATTATATATTCCACAAATTGAAATGAACTGACCTAAATACAGTTATAAATAAAAAAGAATCAAATACTTATAATAAATCATAAGCTAAACAAAGATCAAAATTACAAGAGATGGAAAAAAGAGCCAGTGTAAATTTCAATTTGCTTTAATAGATCACAATACGCAAGGCCCCAAATTTAACAATTCTGCTTTGTTCTATGAGATCTATCTGGAATAGTAGTCTCTCTTTTTCATAGTATTAGGTTGGTCAGCGGCACAATTAACAGTTTCATATTTTTAAATCCTAAACTCCGCTGAAGAATTAGAAGACTTCTTGATGCTAAGAACAGAGGCTTCTGAGCCAAAGATGGGTTGCCCTCCATTTAGGTTGTTCTGGATGTCCACAATCAAGCAGACAGTTGGAGTATCAACTCTTGTTCTATAAATCATTTTAAACTTTTTTTTTTAATTTAGAGGCGATGCAACAAATTTTTCTTTGGATTTTTAGTCCAACTTCAGGGTTACAAGTGGTGTTTAGTCATTCTTTGTTCTTCGTTTTGTCATGTTATAGATAAGAATGGCATTTTATCTAGCTTAGTCCATTCCTTCTATTTCTTCACTTAGAGAATCCAAGATTTTCGTCAGCAGAGAATCTTTGTTTTTTGCAGTTTTGAACTGCCCATCTCCCTCTGGAAGATAGGGGCTTCAACAATAAAATGTTGAAAAATTAAAACAGTATTATGAAAAATTAAAACATTATATAAAAATTAAAAATTTAGAAAGTTTAGAATTTAAAAAGTAGCAAGGATGATTAAAATTTGTTAGAAATTAGTTAAAAAGGCAAAGGGAAACAACACTAACCAGCCCCTCGGTTGTGTGCTGCTTTGCACTCTCCACCTGAAGCTGTAGAGACCCATTTCAATGCCTTTTCAGAAGGCCATAAGAATAGAGGCTTCTCTCCCCTGGTATGTGTGTGTTTGCTGTGGTGTTGAGTAACAAAATGGTGTTCAAATATAGGGTTTGATTCAAATGTGGAATTGAATAAACTTCTACATTTGCCTACTGAGGCTTGACTTTCGGAGGCCAAACCTCCGCTGTAGGGAGGAGGAACCGACCAGATGGTTCCGCCCC